GGGGTATCAGCCAACATATTCCTCGCTCTTGTTCAGGGCTGGACTACGCTGAGCCCATTTGATGCAGGCACATTTGTCGACGCTTACATTATGTTGCCGGTGTTCGGGATCATGTTTGTGGGATACAAAATCATATTCAAGACAAGTTTCAGGCGCAGCCACGAGGTTGATCTTGACACGGGAATGAGGAAGGACTTGGATATGAAGGACGAATACGTGCAGACGGAACCGCATACCGAGCCGCGAGTGAAGCAAGGTTTCGTCCAGAACCTCTGGCGAAATTTCTGAGTAACATGATCAGTGTATTTGGTCGCCTATACGACAATACAAGAATCCACAAAACTGTAATTCTATCATGCGACTCTCATTCGCGCAAATGCAAGTAGCTACGAAGTAAGGCTGATAACGGCCGCTTGCTGATAAATGATACCAAGCGCTTCACGCGACAATTCGCGGTGCATGCCTTTTTGCAGGACCCAATCGGTCTAAAGGCCCCGCATCAATCGCCGTGGACTGTACCCCAAGCTAATAATAACGGTTCACTAAGGTCCAGAAGGATGCGACTCCGTCGAGTTCTCTCGTGGCATTACGCCCAGGAGGATCGCAAACCCTGTCGTGCCGTCGTCTCATTGGCCAAGTTTGATAATAATAGCCGTGGGCCTCTGCTTGCGAGCCTGGTCGGGGTAGCCTAACTGTGCGGGCAACCACGCCGCAATGCTGCATAGTGTCATGCAGCCTCAGAAGTTACTCTTCAACCACCGATGTCATTTGCGCGGTCGTACATCCTTCAATCCGTACTTGCTACACGCTCGCTCGTATAATTGAATTTCGCCGGCTCCCCTCTCATTGGTCGGATTGAACTCAACCAAACCAACATGGCGACGGTATCCGGTAAACCACGCCAGAGAGCCTGGAAACCCAAAGCACGCTCTGGTTGTAAAACTTGCAAGTAAGTCGCTGCGTCAACTATAAAGTGTGCCAATCTCCATAGCGCGGTATGGCTTGCACTATGTTCGTGGCTGGGCTCATAGCCCGCAAAGCTCCCGCCGCCCACCGATAAGCCATTCTTCAGCTCCAAGCCGCATCGTCATCAAATCCCACCACACATGAACTTGAAGCTGAATATGTCGTCTTTTAGTACTGCTGTGCATCCAATGGCCTCTTGCTAATCTGTACAGGATACGCAAAGTCAAGTGTGATGAGGAGAAACCGAACTGCAGACGATGCACCTCAACGGGCCGTACGTGCGATGGCTACGATCCGACTTTCAGACCTCCGCCACCATCAACGCCCTCGCCTCCAGAGTCATCGAAAAGTTCACCTCAGTCGGTATCAAGTTGGAGCTTGACGCGGTCTCATTCGCCAGTGTTCATCGCTCCAGCCATTCGTCTTGATACCAAAGAGGAGCGGGACAGCTTCGAGTTTTTCATGACGCATGCCGTTTCAAATCTGCGCGGATTCCTCGATTCGCCGTTCTGGCAACGAGAACTGCTTCAAGCCGCTCATCGTGAGCCCGCGATTCAACACTGCATCATCGCTTTGGGCGCTATGTATCGACGCTTTTCCGAAGGCTGCGACTCACGTCTGACCGAGACAGCCATACTGGATAATTATCTACAATTCGCTTTGCGACAGTCGAATCAAGCAATTCAGGACTTGTTGAAAAAGCCGAAGAGTAACGACAAAGTAGTCAAATCAGATAAGATCACGCTTATGACCTGCGCTATCCTGTTCACCAGCATGTGTTGTTTGCAAGGCTACCAAAGAGACGCAATCGAACACGTACGCAGCGGCATCCGGATGTTAAACGAAGTGGACCAAGGGAAAGAAAAGTTTGATCACCCAATAGAACTGGAGTCTATACGTACCATCTTTGTGGGATTCGATACGCAGATTAGGGCGATAATGCCAACGCACATCTCACCATCCTGGGTCGCGAAGCCCAAGACTAGACCGCTGGGCAGTTCAACGAACACGCTGAGTATGTCTGCGCTACATGCGATGTTGGGACACACACAGAGCCTACTAAATAGCATCCACGCTTTCAACCAAAGAACCAAATTACGCCCCGCCGACGAAGTCGAAGAAGTATACATCGAATACCTCGACCTCATCTCACGCTACCACCGCGGCAAACTCACCATGGACAATCTCTGGAAGCAAGCCCCTGCCTACGGCGAAGAATACACCGAACCCCTCACGGCATTGGAACTAACACAAGCCCAAATGGAATTCCTCCTCCGCGCCCCACGAGCCGATCTCATCCAGAAATTCCCCTGTCTAGGCGACTTCAAACCCGCGCGGAAACCTTTCATCGAACCCTTCGACATGGCCGCACAATTCGTGCTCATCTTCGAACTCGCTGCTAAACTCCTCCCTCTTTCAGGCGCGCAGACGCCTATCTTCCAAACGCCCGTTGGTCCCACATCCGCACTCTGGGCCATCGCCGTCCGCGCACCGTCCTCGTGTCAAGCACTACGCAAGCGCGCTGTAAAGCTCATGTTGAGCCATCCCCGACGAGAAGGATTTTGGGATGGCATGCTTGCTGGGCAGATTGCGGAAGAGGCGTTGAGGTTGGAGCAAGAACGTGCGCGAGCGGAGATGGGTATCGAGGAAGATGAGATATGTGCGGAGCTGGAGGTGCCGGAGCATTTGCGCATTATCGCGTTCTATTTGACGCATCCGAAAGATAGTGATCGGACAGTCAAGGTTGAGTTTTCAGATGCGAGGGATTTGGCGATTGGAATTCCCGGGTCGGTTAAGTGGATTACTTGGTAGAAGGGTGTTCACCTGAGGTATGAGAGAGTACCAACCTGTTCTTCACTGCTGTGTCGGCACTTCGAGATGTGGACCGATGGCGACCGGCGATGATTTCCTCCACGTCATGTCGCAACGCACGACAGTCTGCGATCTCCCGTCAACCCCAAAAGCCCGAGTCTGGCCTTACATTCGCTCAAGACATTAGCCAAGAGACTTCTCGCGTCCATCGCTGCTCTACATCCGATCAGCTCTGAATGGAGGAAGACCTTGTCCCTCGCTTCGCCAGACTACTCCAACTGCGGACAAAGACATTGTCTTATCGTCACATGAAGAGGGCAAAAGGGTTAAAGAGCACGTCGTGCAATGCACTCAAAACCAAAGAGTGCGCAATTGGAATGGAAATGGATCCAGCACAGCACGATAGCGAAGGAGGATACCAGGAACTGAAGAGAAGAGGCTGAAACCCAGCAGACTATTCATATGGTCTGGTGGACCGCTCGTTCGGATAAACATAAAAGATATCTCGCTGAATGTATCGTACAAAGAGAAATATATAGTCAGCAGTCCAGGAAACCGCACATGCATGCCACACAGTAGCCGTGCCAGTCCTTCACAAACACCCTTGTCCTCTCCGTAAACAATAACAGATATCCTAAGCCCCCTCTTCACCCATCAAAAACGCATCCAAATCACTCACACCCAATCTCCCACCCGCCCTCCTCACCATCCCCGCCGCACCCCTCGCCGCAACATCCCCCTTCTTCCAATTAACCCAACTCGTACTCACAATCCTGGTTTCAGGCTTCGGCCTAGCCGTCAACCTAAGGCCCGTTCCGAGACTACCCCTCAGGACCTTCATATCGATCTTGCCGCCGCGGATACTGCGCAGAATGTGCGAGACGGGACTGTTGTCGTCGCCCCAGACAGAGCCGTACGAGTCCTCGCCTGGGAAGAGGATGCGGGTTGTGAGTTTTGTGAGGGGCGTGGTGTGTTTGGGGAAGAGGGTCGTGATGAGGTGGGCGAGAGCGGCGGGGGCTTCGGCTGAGGTGGAGGCGGAAAAGGAAGGGAAGGTTGTATGTATGCTGGTTGTTTGGCGGGATTCGCGAGGGAGGGGAGGGTCGAGACGGAGGCGCGGGCGCGCGGCGTTGACCGAGACGCCGTGGCGGGCTGTTCTTCGGGAGGAGGAGCGCGTGAAGCTCGTTGCTGGTCCTGATGATGGGGTGGTGAAAGATTGTGCTGCAAAGCTGCTGGATGGCGTCAAGCGCTCATCGTGGCTTGTCTGGAGATCTCGTGAATCGAGCTGGCTCTCTTGCTGGGGAGTGTAGTAGCCAGAGATGTAGACTCGGCGCGCTTGTTTCAACAGGTACGGGTACTGATGCTTCAATACCAAGACGCCGTAAGGATAAGACACGTAAAGCGACAGACCATCCCGGTCTTCTTCGTTGTCGTGAACAACTCCATCGGCATCAACGGTAGAACGCGCCTGCGCGATATGCCTCCGCCTGCGAACACAATCGTTCAACTCGTCATTGACCAATCGAGACGTCAGCATCAGCGCCACCGCAGCGGGGAAGCCCAGCTTCTCGCCCTCAATGTCTTCCATGTGTCCATTCTCGACGGCAATCGTGGGTGGCTTCGCGACTGAGAGGAGAGATGCATCGTGGTGGCGGCGTGCCAGCGGCGCGAGATCGAGTGGTAGACCTGGAACTTCCGTCTTCCGGGCGCGGTCCTGTATCCTGTTGCCAAAACACGTAGTGTAGCCAGCACTAATCGTGATTGCGTGCGGTTCGGTGAGGAGGTAGTCGTAGATTTGGCATCGTATCTCAGTGGGTATCGATAAGAAGCCGCTGTAGCTGCTGCTATCCGTCACGCTCATGTTGTAATCGTAATCGTGAAAAATTTGTGGTATTCAATGGTGCCAAATGTATGGGTCTCTAGCGGAATTTATTGTAGCAAAAGTTGATCAAGAGTAAAAACAACGTGTCCAACGACGTGTTGTTGTAAGGATGAGTGAAGGATGATGTCGACGAATCATGGATGTGGGGTGTGGAGCGGTGAAACAAACAGATGCCCTGCAGGAGCGAGTCACCGCGAGTCCCGGTGGCGGCCCCAGAGCCTCACGCGACGAGGCTGGCCAACATTCCACAGACGCCCAATCACGATTTTGCAAACGTCTGTTTGTTTACGCCAAGATGTATGCAGTTATGACTCCTCCCTTACGCTACGGTAGGTCCGTGGAGCTAATCATCCTCACTATCTTCCGCTCTTTGTTGCTCAGCCAACTTCTGCGCTTGTTCCCACTGCATCGCAAATTCTCGCAGTTGACCCTCTCCACCGCTACTTGCATCTACTACGTCTTTCGGAAGCTTGTGCGCACTGTACTGTGGAGTCGAGAAGCCGTATGCCTCGGGGTCATCTCTCCGTACGAGGCGAAACTCTGGCTGCCATAGCTCCTCAATGTCGTCCTCATCTGTGTCTTCATCCTCGTCTGAGGTGTCACTAGCTGCCTCAACTGGCACGCCCTTGTCTTCCGGTTGCGCGATCTTCAGACGCACAGTTGTTTCCTCGAGAGGTGTTGCGTCGGGTACCTCCATTGTAAGGAGTTCCATCCATGAGAAGATCAGAGGATCAGTCCGCACAGCCCATGGGTTGAAATCGACCACCCAGACCTTGTCGTGCGGCGGCGGTACGTATACGTCGAAGGTGAAGTTGGGATCGGGAAACGTGTCGCGCAGTTTCGCGTCGAAGAAGTCTTGAATGGTATCTCGCAGCTTGTCCTGCATGTTGAACAAGAAGTCAAAGTGGTTCAGATCTCGCTGGCACAGGGCAATCAGCCGGCGATTCCGCACAAAGCATCGGAACTCGACGCTTGGATTCAGCGTGATCCACTTCCTCAAGACGAGATGATAGGGAATCTCCGGGTCTGGTGTTGTAGATTGGTTGGCAGTGTCGTCAAAGGCGTGCGCCAGATCGTGTGTGACAAAGTCGCTGCTTTTCAGCAGCAGGTAGATGTCGTTTGGTGTCCGGCACTCCATGCTGTTGGTTGCGGCTATCCAAGTCGCGTCTTTTGGCGCGCTCCAGTTCAGCTTGGGTGCGACTTTGCCGCCCAATTCCTCGATGGTCCGCTCGATGGCTTCGTGTGTGTCGCGCCAGTTGGCGCTCGGGTCTTGAGCTTCGTCCTCATCGTCGTCGTTGTTGTCCGCACCCGAGAATATGCCGCTGTCATTGTCTGACCACGAAGGGTCGTCGTTCTCTTCGGGAGGGAGGATGATGCCGTCTGATCGGAGGTAGTCGAGGAAGGCGGGTGGGAGGGGGATGAGACGCGCTTTGGGTGTTACGGCGCGGTATCTGTTGCGGTTAGAGGAGGATCTGAGAACGAGAAGGAGTAGAGACCAACTTGGGATGCCATTTGTGGTATGAGCAGTTCAGGATGTGCTCTTTGGTGACTGGTGGGAAGGGCAGTTCTCTGTACCCCACCTCAACCGGCCCTGAGGTGGTATCGTCGCTCGTGGCGTCTTGTGTAGTCATGGTGGTCGTAAACTGTGTGAGAAGGGATGAGAGCGAAATCTCTTAAGTTTTATATCGCAAGGCAATGACTCCATCTCTGGGTGAGTCTGCGCAGTACCAAGGGTAAAGTTTTGGTGGGGCGAGCCATTCCATCATAGCGCTTGGGCCTCCGTGCTCACCTCCGAGCTCTCCGCAAACCATCCATCATTCTTGCCAGCGACGCCCTCCAACGCGACACCCATCTCCACCCACCACATCACTAAGCATCATGGCCGACAACGTAGGCCTCACCACGCCAAGAGGTAGCGGAACCTCGGGCTACGTCCAGAAGAACCGATCCCTCCTCCGACCGCGCGACAAGATCCAGCCCTACCCCAAAGATTGGGAACATGCCAAACACCGCCCAAGACAACCAGACGCCGAGATCCTCGAACACGAAGCAAAGCGCGACATCGAAGTCAAGGTCCTTGAGCTGCGCGACAAGCTTGAAGACGAAGGCGTCGACGAAGACGAGATTGACGACCAGTGCGAAGGCCTACGCCGCAAACTCGATCAGGAACGAAAAGACGGCAAAGATCTCGGTCCTAATGCGAAGCGCCTCAAGTCGCACCAAGTCCACGACCTTGCCAAAGCAAAGGCAGAAGAGAGCGAGAGGTTGCGCAAAGCCCTGGGCATCAGCGCAGACTATGAGGAAGGAAGTCACTGGAGGAAGCAAGAGGAGAGAATGCGCGACAGTCTAGCCAAGAGGGAGGCCGAAGACGAAGAAAGGACTGCCAGAGCGAAAGAAGCCAGGCGGCATAGGGAGGACGACTCGGATTGAGCTTCTGCGAGTCTGCTATTTGGCGTTATGATCCTTTCCGATACCCATAGCCACTGTGCACCACCCTGAAGGCATGGCATTACTGCCTGGAGACTAGCATCCGAAAATCGGTCTCTGGCATCTCTACGACATACCTCTAGTACCAAAGATAGCGACTGTCGATTACTGGTGCGGAAGCTGGAGGCACAGACAGGTCAGCTTCGTCTTCCAGCTTACAGTCTAAGAAGCAGACTGACTTCAACAGATGAGATCTAAACGAGCACCCAGTGTACCCTTGTCTACTGGCTTTTGGTTCTAATGCAGGAACCCTTTACACCATGTCAATTGACTTGACTTGACTGCTTCCGTGACGTCTCACCTCCACTGATGCGCACCTAGGATAACGCGCCGCTCACAAGCGACATTAGTTTGCATGCGCGGGATACCTATCTCCACTCCGGCGTATCTTTCGGTACTGAATAGACCTGTCAAGAGAACGGAGGCGTACCGCACATTGCGCAAGGTGCTTTGCTAGGGCTTCATCTTCACCACACCTCGTTCGCCTTATCACAAGTAACGATACCACATCTAATACACGCATTGTGACAGCCACTACAGCTGAACGATGAATCTTGTCCGTCTGCAACGCACTGTTCGGGTTGGCATTTCTTATCGGCCTAGGTGCTTACCCCAGGCGGTCCAGCTGTCGGCCCACGTGGGTCACCTGAATGGCCAGCTTTTGACGGGCGCGCCAAGTCCTCACAACGACTGGGGTCATGCCCGTGCAACTTGGCTCGCAAACGCTCCACGCCGTCTTTTCCATTAACACGAACGACAGGGCTCTTGCAATGCCTCCTCGTCACCGATGCGGGCGTCATTTTCTATGAACACCCACGGGACGCCGTAGAGCACCGCATGCGATAGCCCACTCACCTAATTGGTCCATTCCTCAACACCAGCGTTCCGGCATCGTGGACGTATAAACCAGGTCTCTCCGCATTTGCGGGCTAGCTGTCTCTTCCCGTAGCAACACCACCGCACGTTACGTGCCCCGACTGTCACCATGGTCCGGCCTATCGCTGTCATGCGCGAGACATGGAACATCTACACTCCTGTCGAACGACGGAACATCGGCATCTACATCGCCGGCATCATGATGTACAAGTTCGGCCTCGAGGCATTCAACGGATCTGTCATTGCGCTTGCGACAAATCGATACGATGAACTCGAGAAGAAAACGCACATCTCCATTACTTTTCAACGTGTCGGCGTCTTGACTGGACTGAATCAAGCCTTTCAGTGTGTTGGATCTATACTGATCGCGCCACTCATCAAAAGATATCCGACGAAGAACGTTCTGGCATGTGCAGTGCTTATATTCGCCTTCATGAGCAGCGTCTTGCTCATCTTAGACGCTGCAACTGGCGGCAAGTTCGCACCGCGCGGATGGGCAAAGGATGACTTCAGCTACTACGGTGACTATGATACCGACGCCATGATCCCCATCTGTAAGTTCATAGCCCCAGTCTACCTAACGGTTCGATATGTCGGTCACCTTTGTTCTCATGTCTGCTACCGCCAGAGCTGTCGCTGGCGGGTGCTGTAAAGAGCAGCAGGTACTTGTTCTCATCTGATTCCATGTTGCTGACGAACGCTAGATTGCGTCTGTGGTATAGTCTACGGCATGGTCGAATTGATCCGGCGAGTCATTCCGCGCGACTTGGTTGGCGGCAACATCCAAAAGCTTCGACGTATGGACTCTCTGGTCCATATCTTCTACGAGATCAGCGGCACTGCTGGTGCCTTTTGCACAGCACTTGCGCTCATTCCCCGGTTCGGCAACAACTTCAGCTTCATTATCACGCCCATATTCTTCGCCGCCGCATCCATACTCTGGTACTTCATTGAGGAAGCCAGCATACCGAAGGAAGGCAGATCTCTGATCTTGGAGAGTCAGCCAACCTATGTCAAGGCCGTGATAGGCGGATTCTACCTCTTCTTCGAGTCCGTTGGAACCGGTGCTAAGATCATCTTCAAGCACCGCAAGTTTATCTGGCTGTTACCCGGATATGCTGTCGCGCTTTATGCGCACCGATACCTCGAGAACGCAATCGCTCCTGCCGTAGCACGCCGCTATTTCGGAAACTCGGCATGGTCACAGATCATAGTGGGAGGCTCAAACTTCGGCGAACTGCTAGGAGCGCTGTTTGTATTCATGTTCACGAACTTGGTGCACACTCCGATACCATGGCTTCGGCTAGACGCCCTGGCTCTCCTGATAGTCTGGTATCTACCTTTCTGGAACCCACCCAAGAACGACGTGGCTCAAGCTTGGATCGTGGGAGCGACGTTCCTCCCCATCAGTTTCGGGTGGGCTGCCGGCGACGTATCGCTCGCCGCATACATTCAGGCATCACTAGCGCGCATCGAGTCGAAGACTCAGAACGTATCTGCACTCGGTGCCGTCATGGCGTTCCTCTACAGCACATACATCGTCACGTACGCGATCGCATCCGTTTCCCTCGGGACCTACATCGACCGCGTTTCCGATCGCCACAACGAACAGATACACGGGGCTGTGTTGAACGTGGCTGCTGTACAGTTCACCATCATCAGTGTGCTGGTCTTGACGAGTACCTTTGTGCCGAAAGGCGCCTTTGCACTAAACCCCAAGATGCTCAGTGAGGAGGACCTGGATACCGATTTGGAGGACGAGGATCTGGAGTATGTACCCGGAGTTCAGGTCAAAGGCAAGCGAAGCTACGAAAGCCACGAGATGACCAGTAGAACGAACAGCTTGGATTAGCGACACGTGAGAATGATTTGGATGAGGCTTGTAACGAATATAACTTTCCCATCTTAATGCGACAGGAAATTGCTCCTCTGGCCACGTATCACAATGCGAAAGAAACAACATGTGCGTGCAGACACCTTGATGTCCAGCCAAATAGCATTAGCAGAATATGCGGGGTATCTTGTCTGAATCGCTAGATGGATGATACTTTGAGTACGACCTCGATCATCATGATCTGACCACCATATCGTGGGCCGGCAGAAGCCGCGACAGCACTTCCAATGTTTCTATAGTAATCTCCAGCACGTGTGTTCTTGTGCAGCGCTCATTGATCCCCACGACTACATGTAAGCTATCGGCTGTTTCATCGACGACTCCGAATATAGAAGGTGACCTCCGCGACGTTCCGTCTCGGTAGACTGGAGTAGCTTCCGCAGCGGAGGCTCGACGCTGCGCACGGAGGGAATGTCACTTGATTGCAGCGCTGAGCAGTAAGAGTGGCAACTAAGCACTCGGCGTCCTGGGTTCGAGACAAGGGGCGCTTTAGCATGCGTCGACGCGCCAAGCCCATGTGCTCACGGGGCGAGGTTTGGTTGGCTCAGCCACGCCTTCACGCACCTCCAAGTCAGCAGCAACACCACGTCTTTGGGTTGCGCCAAGCAAAAGCTTCGCTCACAATCAGTCGCGCTGCGGACGCCATTTGCTTTTAACGGCCCAGTGCAAGCATGCGCGGAATTCCTTCCAGATCGCGCGTCTACTACGCCTTGTTGCGACCGCTGCTCTCGACCCATGGATGAGGCCGACTTCGACGGCTCACGCATAACACCTGTACCCGCCTGCTACGCGGCTGTACGTGCGCAACCCAGCTGAACAAGCTCAAGATCCCCAGAGCCTTGGACCCGTCGCTTTCGTGCTTTCGCTCTGGTCTTTGTTGGCGCCTTGTTTCGACGCCCCGTCATTGTTGTTGTTGCCTCTTGTGGGTGGTAGCCCAGTCTGACATCCAACCCGCATTAGGCACGCCACTGCTATCTGGTACACTGTTGCTACGACTACCGCTTGTCGGAGACTTCTACAAAATCACATCCACCGCAAAGCGTCTGGTGTTGCGGCTCGATGAATCATGCAGCCATATCCTCAGCCGAGTGGACCGCCCGGTAACGACAGAAATGAAGGCGGGCATCGGGGTCCGCTGAGTAGAACATGGCCACAGTTGTTCAAAAAGAGAAGGAGATATAGTCCGGTTAGGGAGAGCGCCCAACAGCAACAAGAACAGCAACAACACGTACAGCAGATGCAGCACGTGCAAATGCAACCAGCACCGCAAACACAGCCACAGCAACAACCCGTGCAATTACCGATACATCCCATCCGCCCATTGAAATCGCCATCAGTAACAACGCAATCTGTCACATCACCCACAGTATCTTCGATAAGATCTCCGTCAATAGCAGCAGACACCGCGAGCACTCTATCATCAATATCCCATGCATCATCCGCAACACCGAAGAAAGTCGCCATCGCAAGAAGAAGCAGTAATATAGTACCTGCTGACAGTAATGGTATGCCTCCCTCTTCGTCGTCAAGTCCCGTGACCTCAATCTCACCCAAACAATACAAACACAAAATTCAGGATACAACTAACTCCTCCCAGGCGCCGGTGGCGTAACAACCCCCCAAGCCGACCTGCTGGCCTCCAAATCAAACTACGAACTAATCTCCTCTGGCCAACACCTAGAGATGGGCCTCCACTTCAGCACCGCCATGGCCACAGGCGTAATGATGAAGCGCGCCACGCATCGCGCCGCCGAACAAGCCCGGCGTGATCGCATGAAAACCGCCATGGTAGATCTAGCTGAATTCTTACTCGACGGCGAAGTCACGTTCGGGAGCGGGACCACGTGTTTTGTCGTTATGAGAGGGAAAGACGGCGAGGATGGGAGCGAGAAGGTGACGGATGGTGCCGATGACGATGTGAGGAGTGGGAAGGGGTCTGTGCCGGGAGAGAAGAAGACGGTTAATAAAGCGCGTTTGATAGAGATGGCGTTGGAGAAGATGAAGGCGCAGGAGAAGGAGATTGAGCTGCTGCGCAAGGAGATTGAGGGGTTGAGGACGGGCGGGGACAGTATGGATGTCTCGTAGAGCCCACACCTGCATACGACGCCCTGTGTGGTTTGTTGGAGACGAGGGGAGAAGGTGGGCTGGGTCGGAGCATCTTTTCTTTTGTAACCTGAGATATCCATCATGCATGGCGTTTGAACATCTTTTTTCGGCATACAGTTCTACCGCATGTATAAATTCTTTAGCATAGGCACTAGAAACGCAATACAGCATATACCGACGAGTTACTTACTCGACGACGTTGTGCACCGGACCCATCGTGGCGTTCGAACCAAGTGGGGTTTCCAGACGGGAACCATGGCCGTTAGCCCTGAGCTTCAAACAAGTTCGATCTGCACAGTCTCCGCGGAGTGTAGACTATGGAAAGCGAGCATCACGTTGTCAGCTCGATAGAAGTGCAAGTAGCTGTGAGGAGTAGTAATGGCATCATTGGTTCATGTCTACGTATAATTATCTACGCGAGCAGTGCGAAGAGCAGATACGTCTTCTTCGCATAATCCGCCGCGTTCTTCCTAAGCCTGTTGATAGCAGCCTCGTCTAAGTCCACCATGTCGGTTTTCTGTACCAGCGCGGTGAGTTTGGCATTGTCTGCGCCTGTGTCACCAACGAAGCGTTGGATGTAGAGAAGATCGAAAAGCATTTGTTTGACTCTCTGTTCCTTTGCTTCCTTGTCATCTGAAGATGGCGGGGTGGCGTCTGCTTTCTCACCATCATCCGTGGCTGTGGGGTCTGCGCCTCCATTTTCTTCTCTGTCTTCGTCTTTCTTCTCGACAGAAGAGCTTTGCTCTTTCGCAGACGCGCTGATGGCGTCGAGATGCTCCTGAACTGTTTTGATTACTTCGTCGGCGACGCTGCTTTTCAGAACCTCGACGCTGCCGGGCGCCCATACATCACTACCAAGCGCGCCCATATCTTTGTTTAGGCCCCGCAGGAATCTGAAAGCGCTGGAGGACGGCTGACTCGGTAGTGGTGGGTGTCCTTCCCACAAGATGTGGCTGTTTGTCTTCACTTTAAGTGAACCTTGAAGCGATGTCTTGTATGCATCTACGCTTGGTTTCGTGACGCGTAAAGCGAGTGTAGCATGCAACGGTTGAAGAATCTCTATCGTAAAGGGTGACGCAAGAGGTGTGGCTTTATCTTGGAGGCGTAACCGCGGTATCCGATCGCCGATTTCCCTGACTACGCGCAGCATGAAAGTGGCCTTTTGTGTTGATTGCTCACCATCAGACTTCTTCACGATAGTATTGAAGCTCCGGCTTAGGTTTTGCATGGCGTCGCTCAAGGCCTCCTGGGTAGCTTCCTCGAGCAGTTTTGGATCGTCATCGCTGAGGAGTGCTTGCTTCGAATCGCCAAGCTCATCTTCGGATTCGTCGTCCACATCATCTGCAAAGGTATCGTCCCATCGTGCTTCCTTCATGCTCTTGACGATACCCTTGACTTCCAGGATAGACTCCATCCATTTGTCAAAGGCAGAGGTTACACTGATGACAGACTCATCGCGCCCTTGGTAGGTGTTGAGTATAGCAGATTTGAAGTTTTGTGCCCCGTTGCTCAGATCAGAGGCCTTGGTGGTGGTATCCCATAGTGAAGGTGCCACGGCCTTGTCTGTTGAAGCCACCGTGTCCAGTCGATTCGTCAGCTCGGTAACGACACTTTGTAGCCCATGTGTGCGCGATCGCACTATGCCCTCAAGCTTATCGTTCATCGTGTCTCGTAGATCGTCTAAAACGTTGGCCGACTTGACACCCGCCATTCGTGAGCCAGACAATATCCAGGTCTCGATCAGCTCTTGCCTCAAGTCTGCAACCTCTTTGAGTCGTTCTTCGCCCTCCAGTGCTTTTTGCACACCCTTGAGGAAAGCGGCAATAGCGTCCTTTGACCATCGGTGCATTATCCGCTCTGCATCCGGCCGCTGCAATTCGTCGTGTCTCGGCCATGGCGTGTAGTTCCGTGCCTCATCGCCTAACCACCGATCATGTACATCGAGGTTCAGCTCGTAGAGACCGCGGACGTCGGGGTCCTGGATCAACGGCTGTGCCTTCAGTTTTGCCAGTGCCTCTGCTAAGCGCCGCGGAAAGATGGTCTGTGTATCGAGGCATGTCTGAATGCACAGCTTGAGCGCGCTAATGCCATGCTTCGCAAGCTCATCGCCTCCTGCCCTCAGCTCGCTGTTCATCTTGTCCAATCGCATCTTATGGAAATGGTGTAGGACATCGGTCGGGGTGGAACTCGTCGCGAGCGCGTAGGCACACATGCTTTCGAGCAGGCTGGCTGTTTCGCCGTTCGTGTTCGAGAGGCGCTTGTCAATCCTCCTGAGAAGCTTCCGCCGTACCGACAGCAGTCTCTCCCACAGCTGATTGACAATGGGCGCCTTGTTGTCGGATTGACTGAGCGACTTGTGGAGTAGTCTTGAGATGACCAGGACTTTCGCAATGAGCAGATATGATCCTTCTCTTTTCATGATGCGCGTCATGACCACAGGCGCGTTGCGCATGACTGCGAGCTGGGCCGCGAATGTATAGCGCTCCGCATCTATTGCCCGTCAACCCACTGTCCCTTGCCAATGCATTGTTGTAGACTGACCGCGACTTCGTGTATGCATGTCCATCTTGCCCGCATTGTTTGTGATCTTTTCTAGGCCCCGCGCATTGCAGCTCTGCCCTACTCTTGAAAGCCTACTTTCCACCTGCTGCATGCGCACTTCCATGTCGATGATCGTACCGGCTGTGTCGAGGAGGCTGCGATAGCTTGCCCTGTAGTTCCGTCAGCCTCTTCCATCTATATCCCCTTGTTGGCCTGGCATTCCGTACCCGACAAGCGACCGTAGCTTCTCTCGATTGTCGTCGGCATTGTTGCGGAGCTGCTGTTCAAGCTTGCGGACGACGGGGATGGGGTATTGGAACGCGTCTTCCCACGTCTGGAAGGTTCGTGGGTCTGGCGTTTCGGTCGCCATTGGCGTTGGGTACTGGAAGTCGCGTGTTGGCGTCGCAATGCTACACGTAGAGGTACGCGGCGATGCTACATCTCCCCACCAATCGCGTGCTTAGTCATCGCGCCTACCCATCACTCAATTGCCAACTGGAACAGTTGACTGATTTGCGAAGGTAGTATATGATCAAAGAAGGGGCTTTGACATAATCGTTGTGTAAAATGCATAATGGCATTGGTGTTGAAACCAAGAAACTCTATCTCTATATCTCAAAACATGGTATCACAGGTTAAGCTCAAATGACTCCGCCCATCCCAACTCCTACCAAACGAATCATTCTCCATCTGGAATAAAGCCTGCCGTATCACCTGCAGCATTCCGTCTTCTGAGCTCGCGTTCCACAGCCCTCAACATAAGCTGCGCATCGTCGAGCGTCAATTCCTCTCCACCCCTCATGCTCGCCAACAGCTCCGCAAATTCAGGGTCATCAGGCTCGATGATCTCAACCCTTCTGCCCTTTGTCTTTGGCTTTGGTGGTGGCAATGGCATGAAAGCTCTGTTCGTGCTGCCGAACTTGGCGATCATCTCCTCAAATTCGCCTTGTGGAGTGCTCTGACTTGTGACTGCCCCGCCAGCACCGATGCGCCAGACGTCTTCCTTGTCCTCATCCTGATCGTCGTCGATCTTGATAGCGGTACGAATGACAACGTTGAAGTCGCCGCCTCCTCCGACGTCAAGGTATCCGAGAACACCTGAGTATATGCCTCGTCTCACGCCGCTCTCCACATTTTGAAGGATTTCGCATGAGCGTTTCTTGGGCGCCCCAGTCATACTTCCTGGTGGTAGACTCTCAACGAATGCGTCGAACCCTAGGTATGGAACAGAATGTTTCGTTGGCTTTTTGGAAGCGTACTCCACAGGGTCTTCCCAATCTTCCGGGGTGGTAGGCTTGTAGATTCCGCTGGGTACTGCATCGACGACTGATACTAGTTGCCACAGTGTTTCGTATTCTTCCACTTCCATGAGCTGGCTCACTCGGACATTTTCGGAGCCGTAGACACCGTGAAGTTGATGGCGGGTAAGATCGACAATCATGAGATTTTCTGCGCGTTCCTTAGACGATGAGAGGATGTCATGGGCCATCTCGGCAGTTACACCAGGTTTCTTCTGCACTGTTCCTTTGATCGGCCGGCATTGCGCAGTTTGCGATCGGTCCCAGCTTATGTACCGCTCTGGCGAGGAGCACAGTAAATGTACATTGTGCATCCTCATGTAGGCGCTGAATGGCGCGGGATTTTGACCAGTTAGGCGTTTGTAGAGGTTCCAGGAGTGTTCATTATCCTCGGAGTGGGATATTCTGCACGCTGTAGGCTTGCGAGCGCGAACCTCGTTGCGAGTCGTCAGACACAGCTCGTAGCTCTGGCCGTCTGCTATCGAGTCTTTGCAGGCTCTGACTTTATCGCAGTAGTCGTCTTCGCCAGCGGTGAGCTGATGGCATGACTCAATATACTGGTGCATGGTGCCATGCGTCTCGAAAGGATCGACCTGCCTCATTGCGGCAGAATTCGGGGTGGTCTCTCGTGATTTGAAGCCTGCATGCTCATACAGTCTCTCTATTGTGTTGATGACCCAATCTTGGTCACAGGGACCGCGAATACTTTGAACGTAGATCTTTTTGATCTGGTGGTCAAAGACAATACTCCTTGTTATGTAGGCGAAGCAGATGTCTGGATATGAGGCTTCTTCGTGGCCGTTGACGTCAATTGTTTCTAGACCAGCCTCGTAAGATGCATATCCCATCAGACCTCCCCAGAAAGGAGCCCATGTTGAACCCTGTGGCGGAGTCGAGGGCTGGAGACTCTTCATGACTTCTCGTACGTAGGGCCAAGGGTCGGCCACGGTCCAGTCTGTATGTACTTTGTCTTTACCATCCCTGAGCTCCATTCTGCGGGTGCCAGCGTAGTAATGTAGGCGCAGAGTCTCTTCTGGGATGACGACACCAATAATGCTGTACCTGCCTGTTCCCACAGCCATTGGTACGAGGTTCGATTGCAGTCCCGATTCTAACACTATGGCTTCGCCTCTTGATAACTCGAAGAGCTCACAAGCATCCGCAACGGTAAGTCGTCCACTTCCCGTGGTCGCACAATGCACAGTGCTCGGTGGTAGATCCGGTAGTGACTGCCCGTCCCCATGCGCAATGAGCGAGGCCAGCTCGAACGGTGTGATAGTGTCGCTATCAAGCTTTGCGACGAAATCGGTATAAGAGCGTTTGCTCTGTTTCTTTGTGCCGTAGATCCCCAATTCTCGTCGGAAATCCTCAGCAGTCATCGGCAAAGACGGCACGTTGGATGTCAGACTATGCTTGGGGACGTTCCTGAACATGCGCTTCCGGTTCCAGGCTTGGGCGTCCTCCCACCAATTCCGGATGATGCGCTTGCCCTCGTCGTTTGTACATATCGACTCTGGATGAAATTGAACTCCCCAGAACGGCTTCTGCAAATGTTTGATGCCCATGAGAACGGCACCGTTGAGATCGCTATCAAAATCCCACGCCAACGGCTCCAACTGAGGGCAGGTCTCGGTGGGTTCCCAAAGCTGTGCAGGATACCGTACAGCGCGCTTGTTCTGTATGGGGTGATCGAGTTTGACTTGCAAAGAGTGGTACTGCGTTGCTAAAAGACTCTCCACACCGCGGAATATTGACTGGCTCTTGTGTAGGACGGCCGTTATGATACCGTGCTTTGGTTCCGCGAGCCGTTCAATATCGGCTCCAAATGCAAGGCATAGCGACTGGAATCCAAGACATATACCGAGCACTGGAATGATCTGCTCATCCCGAAGTTTCCAGAGTTCTTTCATTAGACCAACATCTTCGTCACATTTCGCCCAGCCAGGTCCCGGCCCTGCAATGACGGCATCAAAGCTCTTCAAATAGTCCGTAAACGCTGTGAACTCCCCAGAGGCTGATGGCTTCGCAAGAACAGGATCATCGATGAAGATTTTGATGATTTCCGCGTCTACATTCTGCTCGACCAGCGCGACAATGTTGTTGGAAAAAGAGTCGTAGGCGTCCAGACAGAGTATCCTTGGGCGCTGAGTCAGAACGGCAGGCGCCATCGCTTTGGTCGCGGATCTGAAGCCCGGAATAATCGGGTAGTGCGTGAGATGTTTCTACAACAGATTCCGATATTGAATTGTCAAGAGAGTCAGACCGGACGTCTAAGCGATAGCCAGGTGTTGTATCGTGGTTGGTGAAAAGTTGAAGAGGTGATAGGGCTGAAATCTTATCCCGCGATAACTCCGGCGATTCGCCGGTGCAAGTGCGGAACCGTGGATCGGGTTCGTAGGAGTACCTTGGCTGTACTTGAGTAGATGGAAGGCTGACAGTAGGAGAGCGGCGAGAGCGGTGGTAAAGCGATGGAAGTGTTACAATGAACGATAACGATCTCATGCCAGGACGCCACCTGGTTAGGGTCAATAGGCCCCAGATGCAGGGTCCAACGGAAGCAGCCGCTTAGCTGCTCGACGCATCTGAGGTGTGCATGTCCTCGAAAAGGAAAGCAACCTTCGCTAATGTTGTTTCACCCAGCCGATCGACCTCTTGCCACCTCCTTAAAACCCCGCGCCATGTTCTAGAAGTCAGAGACGCGTTACAGCCATCCCACGCGCGCTACAGCAGCCCCACGAAGTCGAACCTCTTCACTCTCACAGGTGCCAGGAAAGAGTCTACTGGACGACACATAGAGCAATACTGGTATGGCCTCTAACTCAGCCTGACGGTCTCGATCTGCGCATCAGATATCAGAATGCCACAAGATACCCTTTAGTAATGATGGCGTCGGACATGATCACGCCTCGGCATACTAGGGTGGGCATCGCGCTTGGGCCATGTCGTCATGTCGAGATTCTTCCGCAGCGTTTCCACGGCGAGAGACCACGACATCTTGTTGGAGACGACCAATTCCCATAGACGCCATGTCCTGGCTCAAACGGCGAGCAGGGCCCTTGATAGTACTCGGGACCTCAGCCATTGGCGGCGCCGCCTATCGCTTCACCAGATCCGCCGACCCCTCCGACGCATCGTTGAACCCGCATACCTTCACGCCGTACACTCTCGTAGACAAGCAGCCCGTCTCGTCGACCAGCGCAATATTTACATTACGCAATAGCAATGGTGTCTCGGACACGGAAAGTGTGAAGGAAGTGTGGAAGCGCAGTATCTGGAGTGTCCAGATTAAGCAGCCACAGCTACAGATTGCGCGCGCATACACACCACTGCCGCCTTTACCACCAGACGTCCACAAGAATGGCGAGAATGAGCCTGAGGATATGAGGCTGCTCATACGGCAAGAACAGGGAGGCGAGGTCTCGACCTACCTGCATCGACTACCCGAACAATCCACCGTCGAGCTACGAGGACCGAACACCGAACTTGAGCTTCCGCGCGATATCATAGAGGTTGTCTTCCTGGCAGGCGGGACCGGCATAGCACCTGCGATGCAAGTTGCGCAAGCCCTAGGAAGAAGGACTGGAAGCCGGATGCACATACTATGGGCGAATAGGCGGCGTGAAGAATGTGTAGGGGGCATCAGCGACGACAAAGGTAGCACAGCATCTGCGTTGGATCGCGTAGGCTGGTGGCAGAGCTTCTTCGGTTCCAGCGAGTCCGTTGCAGCTGCACCACTTGCAGAGGACTCATCTACCGCGTCCAAGGGCATTGTGGTAAAGGAACTGCATGCGCTCAAGAAGCGGAGCGAAGCAACGAAAGGCGAAGGCCTCCGTGTCAACTACTACGTCGACGAGGAGAAGACATTTATCCATCCATCCGAGATCGAGAAGAAGATACAAAGGCAACGAGCAGAGAGCGGCTCAAGGTTGATCATAGTATCAGGTCCAGATGGATTCATCGAGCATTGGGCAGGCAAGAAGCTCTGGGCCAATGGAAGGGAGGTACAAGGACCATTAGGTGGTCAACTAGGACGGATGCAACTAGGTGAGTGGAAAGTAATTAAGCTGTAAGATAACGTACGTTCACCATGATATCCATCTTCTTCACTCTCACACTCGTTATGAGCCTACCATCTGATTACTAACGCATTTTAACACACTCCGCGGACCTTGACATCGGTGTTTCTCCGAGTCCGTAACTGCGCATATATGCAAGCCGGGAATAGTGCAGCCATAACTTGCCTAAATAGCGGCTAGACATTATGCAACAAGCGCGGCCTCATGGATGAATTCCGCGCGCTGAATAATTCCACAATCGGCGCATTTCGATCATTGCTCATCAGATCCCTGTCTCGTCAATTCGAAACTCGCATAGCATCTTTTCTATCAATTGCTCTTTGCGCTTCTTTCAACTTTTCGTTCAGCGTTCCGAGACGAAATGGGGGCGGACGCAGCAGACGCAGACGCCGAAGTCGCCGCTTCCATTTCCTATCATGACCGGCCAATCAGCGACAAGGACCCCAACGCGCGACCAGAATGCTTCACATCGACGTTACAAGAATGCATGTTCATCGCCTCGGTGACCATGGCCGTGGCCATGACGAGCTTCCTAACTGGGTCAATCACAGTCATGAGTTCCTTCGCTGCACGGGACCTCAACATGACGAACGCGGAAATCACATGGATGAACGCAGCGACATCGTAAGTATATATCCAGCAGAACAACTCGAGAAGCACAGACTGAAACCCCATAGACTCACAGCAGGATCCCTCCTCCTTTTCTTCGGCAGCGTAGCCGACCTCTTTGGCCGCAAAGCCATGTTTATAGCCTCCATGTTCCTCTTCTCCGTCTTCTGTCTCGGCGCCGGTTTCTCCACCTCGGGCATGACTTTGGATATCCTCTGCGGCGTGCTAGGCATCTTCTCCGCGTCCTCCGTGCCCCCAGCCCAAGGTATGCTCGGCGCCATCTACGAGTTGCCCAGCCGACGCAAGAACCGCGCTTTTGGCTGCTTCAGCGCTGGAAACCCCATGGGCTTTGTTTTCGGGACGATATTATCGGGATTGTTTACGCAGGTGTTTAGTTGGAGAGCGGGGTTTTGGTTACTTGCTATTGTGTACTTTGTGACTAGTATTGTTGCGGCGTTTACGGTGCCGAGGGATGGGACGCCCAAGAGGAGGTTGGATGCCGAGACGGTTAAGAGGTTGGATTTGCCGGGGACGGGGTTGACGGTGTTGGGGATTGGGATGTTTTGTGCGGCGTTGAGGTATGTTCTCTTTCTAGGGTTGAGAGGACGTCAAACTGATTATGGCGTAGTCTCGGAGGCGATGCACCGCAGGGGTGGAAGACGCCGTATGTTCTAGTCCTACTGATTCTAGGTCTTATTCTCATCGCGGCGTTTGTCGTATGGGAGATCAAATACCCATATGCTATGATCGATATGAAGATCTGGTATGACCGGGACTTTTCCCTTGTAAGTCCTCCTTCTTATCCCCATCTCTACCACCACCAGAAGATAGCAACACAAACTACTAACACGCCCACCAACCCCAGCTCCTCATCGTCCTCTCCTGCGGCTTCCTCGGCTTCCCCATCTTCTCCTTCTGGATCGCACTCTACTTCCAAACCCAACTCAACTACAACGCCCTCATGACAGGCGTGCACATGCTACCCATGGTAATCGTCGGTCTAACCGCCAACGCCGTCGCCGCCCTCGTCCAGCACAAAGTCTCCAACAAACTGCTCGTCGGCATCGGTGCCGCTGCACTAACCGTCTCGTTCACCCTCGCTGCCGTGCAGAGGTACGGAGACTCCTATTGGGCGTTTTCTTTCCCCGCACTGTGTTTGTGTGTTATAGGGGTGGATTTCCAGTTCATTGTCGCTAATGTAAGTTTCTCTCCCTTGCAGTTTCCTTGTGTCTTGTAAGTGATTCTTGACACTGATCACGAATAGATGTACGTCCTCTCATCCATGCCTACAAACAAACAATCCATTGCCGGGTCGCTATTCCAGACTCTGACTCGTCTGTGTACTGCGATTGCGTATGGTGCCGCGACTGCCATATTCGATGCCGTCCAAAGACGTCCTGCTACCTCTGGCTACTACGCGAAAAATGCGGCTGAGCCATTTGCGGCGGTGTTTTGGTTCGCTGCCGCGGCATCGGTACCTGGGCTGCTTCTTGTTCCCTTTCTGAGGATTGGTACGCAGGGGCATAAGGGGGATACTGGGAGGGTGAAGGTGGGTGGGGACGATGGAAATATCGTCGCTCCTGTGAGTGAGCAACATGGACGGAGTGGTGTGGAGGAAAGAGGAGATGCGGTGTAAGAGTACTAAGATATGAACATCACAGGACTCAAACGAAAATTCAAATATCTGAACCTTGAACATGTGTTTGACATCGCTGATGGTTGCAATATCGCGTCTACTGATCAGGGTTGTAGTACTTCCGCCAGTTGTGTTCCTCCTTGAATCCAAGAACATCCCTAATCTTGCGGTTGCTCAGCGGCGCTTCCCACTCATCCATCTCCCTTGTGATGGGCGTATTCGGTGCATACTGTTCCAGAAATTGCTTCGTCGGGAATGTGGCAGTGATGGTATCGTTCGTTGCGTTGAAGACCTGGAAGCCCAGTCCATCCTTCTGTACGCATAGATCGCAAATCTGACCAAGATCACGAGCGTCAATGTATGCCCAAGCGTTCCTCTTGCGGCACTCTGGGGACTTGATGTATTTTGGGAAGTCGCGCTCGTACTCGTGGGGCTCGATGACGTTTCCGATTCGGAGAGCGTATATGTCGGCGTCGAATCTGCGGGCGAAGCCGCGGGCTACGCGCTCGCCGCAGAGTTTAGAGATGGCATAGGTGTCCATGGGGTTTACGTCCATATCTTCAGTCAGTGGGAACGCGGTGTAGTCGAGATCTCCCTGGCCAAAGCACACTTCGTAGGTGGTTTCGCTGCTGGCGATGATGATCTTCTTGACACCAAGTTTGCATGCTGCCTCGATAACATTGTATGTGGACCTTACGTTGCCGGCATAGCACTCGTTATCGGGTACCAGCATGTTTCGTGCGTAGGCTGCGAAGTGGATGACTGCGTCTGGTGGGCCGGGTACGTGAGGTCCTTCATAGCCGGCGAAGTTGAAGTGGGTTGTGAGCGCGTTGAAGACCTGGCCGCTGTCTGTGAGGTCGGTTTTGAGGGTGAAGACTCCAGCGTTCGGATCGGGGAAGTCTAGTTGATGTCAATTGATAGAACAGTGCAGCGAAGAAAACGGGGATGTACCTGTCAAGTCCAGATTGAGTACCGAGTAGCCCTTCTTGATGAGTTCTGGGATGATATGGCGTCCAGCCTTTCCTGAGCCGCCTGTGAAGACGATGCGCTTCCCTGAGGGGGCCATTGTGGAGAATCTGGGGAGTGGAAGAATGTTCTTGTATGTTCGCGATCTAATACTCGATATGTTAGTGGTAGCTTGGATATGGGGTAACTGCGGGGTCGTTCTTACCCTTTGTAAACAAAAGGTCTAACTGGCGTTTTAGGGAATTTACTGAGACGAGATTGAAAATTCATCCAAGAAAGCATCGAGCAGAGATATCCTCATCTTTATAGGCGTCATTGTGCATCTGGAGATCGATCGTCCCACCGGGACATCTCAATGCGAACAGGCGTGGCGAGGACGGTAGCTACGGCGGGATGTACATGGTCGGTAAACCTACGTCACGACCCCTACCCCGGCATTTGGAGGCTGGACCCACCTGAGCACGCTTTTCGGTCATACGACTAGCGTATGAAGACAGCGAATCCTCCGCAATTGCCATTTCACACCTAGTATATCTTCACCTATGGTCGCATATCCCTATCCACACAGATGACCAGCGGTCTGATGCGGCGCTTCTCCACGTTTGCCCGCACGCAACTCCCCACTAGGACAGCGAGATCGCTCACTGCGCCCCGGCTGCTGGGGCTCAAGCAGTACAAGAGGACCCTCAGCGACGCCGGCGCGAGACAGGCATCCGTGTCGAGGCACTGGTTCACTAGCTCGTCGCCATGCTCCCATCCGGAATCCCATGAGCGCGAGAAGGCGCGTTCCAACGAGCGCAACTTGAAACTAGGAAACAGTGGGTGGCACCTTCTACATGTAGGATTAGATGGCTAATACGGTCACAGCAATCCGAGTACTCCACGATCGCCTACCCACGCTCTTGATATCGCCCCTACCGCAAGACATACTGTCCCCGCAGATCAGTCTTCAACTGTTCCCCTCGACGCACCCGCACCTACCCAACGTAAGCGGGAGGTACGCCTACACAGCAGCATTATGGACAGCACCGGTCGCATGGGACCAAGTTCCCGTACTGGGCAATGTAAAGCTCAAGATATTGTCTGAGCGCATGGTCAAGAACGGAGGATCCACCACAAGCAACGTACGCAACGAGAAGCTCATAGTCCGGTGGCAGACATGCAAGTCGGAGAAGGAGAACGGCCAGGTCAGCGACGTAGTCGAAAAGATTACGAGCATCGTCGCGGGGTCCAAGAGGCCGCACCAGGAGTTTACTGGGCTGTTCAAGTTTGAGTTCGACGAAGAGGGGCGCATCTTGAATCACATCATCGAGCACACGGAAGAGGGCCAGCACTGGGACAGGACGGCCAAGGTGATCAGTGTCACTGACTGGCTGCTGGGACGGGCGTGGGGGAGGCGTGAGGAAGTGAGCCCTAGTCTGGCTTTTGTCAAGTGCTGGAGAGAGAAGAACAGCCGGGGCCGTGGCGAGCGGCGATGAAGCGTCGGGGTACAGGCCCTTCACCACTCTATTGTACAAGACTTGTAATCACGAAGTAATGACAACACCCATCCTCACACAGCAGCGTCAATTTCACATGCGTATCCACCGCTGATGACCCGGTGCGTCAGGTTACACATCCGGAATAATTCAGCGTGTGCGATTGGCCGGCGGCTTGGGTGAAATGCGGAGGCCGGCCATGTGCATGGAAATGAGTGGCAGGGCGGGATGGGATGCATCGACAGCGTGGCTGGGCCCGTGACAGCTGCTGTGTTCCCGCCCAATAGACGAGTTGTGAGCATCGA